CTCTGGGTTTCTTTTGCTTCTTTTAATTTTTTTTAAAAACCATTTATTGCCGGTGGGGAGTACCTCTGGACAAGAAGGTGTGGTTCGTTTTCCTTTCGCGCTTGTGGGAATGCAAAGAAGACCAAAAAGAAAGAAAGAAGTTCAGCGATCTTCGTAATAAGAAGCGTTTTTGTTATTTATAAGAGTGTTACAAGTTTGGGAGTTTTAAAGCACATTTTTGTCCAGGCAGGAAGTACAGGCATATACGATTGCCAGGAAACAAGAATTCTAGTATTAAATTTTGTCACTTTGGGAATAGGAACCAGAAAACTATTGTTCACCCCTTTTGTCTTTTCAGAAGCGCAATGAAAACATATTCTCTTTACTTTGGCTCATGTAGGTTCCCCTACAACATGGTGCGAGTTGTTTTGAGAAAAGGAACTGAGTGAACCTACCTGTCAGCCCTTCGTATTATGCGGTTGGGAGAGTGTGGGTTCATCCCGTGCAGCAAAAGCTCGGGATGAACAGGTGTTTTTGCCAGCATTTTCACAGCATTGGATTGATGTGGTCATAGATTCTAGATAAGGATTGAGGCACAGTAATGATATGTTGAGCTTGTGATTATGATTTAACTAAAATCAGCTCTGATACCGAGAATGGAGTACAAGCAGTGATAAGCGCGCAAACAGATCCATGTATTTGAACAAATTGAATTTTTTTTCTGTGATATTTTGTTTCTCGACTCATTGTTTGATGTGATGGAAAAAAAATCTGTCGCTGAACTTTTCCTATGGATACAGAAGCATCTGCGCGCGGTAAGCTCAGGTCTCTCGATCGACAGTCCGGATGCTGTGAATCCTTCACGATGGCGTGGTAAAAATCGTCTTGGAACTCTTATGGATGCCGTGCGAGAGAAGTTATGGGTCATGGAAGAATATAGGTCTGTTCTTTATCAGTGTTATTTTAATTCAGTCCTCCAACATTGCTTTAGACAGATTTAATGAATAGTGTTCAACTCATAAGTATCAAAGGGAACACAAAGGTTCTTGTGTGTTTTCAAATATGGCATTGTTTACAGTCAGCACGTTCAGCTAACTGAAATGTGTCTTGCAGGTGATTGG